GGCAGGATGCAATGCTGAGACTACTGGAGGATCAAACTGATATGCTCTGGCATATGGTTGAGCTGCAGGAAAGGCAGCAGGAGCACAGACCACCGCTGAAGCCCCTGTGTAACCGCCCACCTTCCTCCCCAAGTTCCATAGCCTCCTCACCCAGATGCCCAAGAACGCGGGAGGAGGAGGGATGCTCCAGGCACCCAACCACTCCACCCCAGAGGACTGCCCAAGAAACAGAAGGCTGGCATTCAATAAGTTTTGAAGCGCAGTGTGGCCTTGTCCTTCCCTCCTCCCCCAACCCTTCCGGGCTACCTTGGCAGTTATCCCCCTATTCGTGTGATGAATTAATAAAGAATGCATGAATTTGAAACAACAATGACTTTATTGCCTCTGCAAGTGGTGATCGAAGGGGGGAGGTTGGTTGGCTTACAGGGAAGTAGAGCGAACCAAGGGGGTGGGTTTTCATCAAGGAAAAACAAACAGAATTGTCACACCGTAGCCTGGCCAGTCATGAAACTTGTTTTCAAAGGTTCTCTGATGCACAGCGTGCCCTGCTGTGCTCTTCTAATCACCCTGGTGTCTGGTTGTGCATAATCAGCGGCCAAGTAATTTGCCTCAACCTCCCACCCCACTGTAAACGTCTCCCCCTTACTCTCACAAATACTGTGGAGCACACAGCAAGCAGTAATAATAATGGGAATATTGGTTTTGCTGAGGTCTAACCGAGTCAGTAAACTGTGCTAGCGTGCTTTTAAACGTCCAAATGCACATTCTACCACCATTCTGCACTTGCTCAGCCTATAGTTGAACACCTCCTGACTACTGTCCAGGGTGCCTGTGTACGGCTTCATGAGCCAGGGCATTAAGGGGTAGGCTGGGTCCCCAAGGATAACTATAAGTATTTCAACATCCCCAAGGGTTATTTTCTGGTCTGGAAAGTAAGTCCCTTGCTGCAGCTGTTCAGATAGACCAGAGTTCCTGAAGTTGCAAGCGTCATATACCTTTCTCGGCCATCCCACATTGATGCTGGTGAAACGTCCCTTGTGATCCACCAGTGCTTGCAGCACCATTGAAAAGTACTCCTTTCGGTTTATGTACTGGCTGCCAGGGTGGTCTGGTCCCAAGATAGGGATATGCGTTCTGTCTATTGCCCCACCACAGTTAGGGAATCCCATTGCAACAAAGCCATCCACTATGACCTGCACATTTCCCAGTGTCACTACCCTTGATAGCAGCAGCTCAGTGATTGCATTGGCTACTTGGATGACAGCAGCCCCCACAGTAGATTTGCCCACTCCAAATTGATTCCCAACTGACCAGTAGCTGTCTGGCATTGCAAGCTTCCACAGGGCTATCGCCACTCGCTTCTCAACTGTGAGGGCTGCTCTCATCTTGGTATTCTTGCACTTCAGGGCAGGGGAAAGCAAGTCACAAAATTCTATGAAAGTGCCCTTACGGATGCGAAAGTTTTGCAGCCACTGGGAATCATCCCAGATCTGCAACACGAGGCAGTCCCACCAGTCTGTGCTTGTTTCCCGGGCCCAGAATCGGTGTTCCAGGGCATGATACTTTGAGAGAAGTCTGTGTCTATGTCCTCATCACTCTTGTCACCACGCTGCCGTCGCCTCCTTGCCTGCCTTTGCAGGTTCTGGTTCTGAACATACTGCAGGATAATGCGCAAGGTGTTTACAATGCTTATAACTGCCGTGGTGATCTGAGCGGGCTCCATGCTTGCCGTGGTATGGCGTCTGCAGGAGAGCAGGAGAGCAGAGTTGCAGCGGAAGCGGTGGCTGACGACAGATGCCACTAGAATAGATATTTATAGAGAACAACGAGAGGACCCGCGAGGTGGATTCATGAGAGCAGGAGAGCAGAGTTGCAGCAGAAGTGGGAGCCCATGACAGCCGACATGGAGAAATTCGCTATCAAGACAAGAACAGGAAAGCAGAGTTACAGCGGAAGCGGTGGTTGGATGACCAGTTTTGCAGACCTACTGCCAGCAGCACCAGGACACAACAGCAGTGGTGTCAGTGAGCTGACCTGAGAGGGCTGCACGCTTGCCGTGGTATGGCAAGACAAAAGCAGGAGAGCAGAGTTGCAATAGAAGCAGTGGTCATATAGAGGACCTGCGAGGTGGCACCAGGAGAGCAGAGTTGCAATGGAAGCGGTGGTCATATAGAGGACCTGCGAGGTAGCACCAGGAGAACAGAGTTGCAGCGGAAAAAAGGCACGAAACAATTGTCTGCCATTGCTTTCACAGAGGGAGGGATGACTGATGACATGTACCCAAAACCACCCGCGACAATGTTTTTGCCCCATCAGGCATTGGGAGCTTAACCCAGAATTCCAATAGCTACCCACAGTGCAACGCTGTGAAAGTTGACGCACTCCGCCGACTTAATGCGCTTAGTGGGGACACATACAATTGACTGTATAAAATCACTTCTTTAAAAATCGACTTCTATAAATTTGACCTAATTCCATAGTATAGACATATCCTTAGGAAAGAAAAATCAAATGCACAAATACAAAATGGGGAATAACTGTCTACATGGTAATGCTGCTGACAAGGATCTGGGGATTATAGTGGATCATAATTTGAATATAAGTCAACAATGTGATGCAGCTGTGAAAAAAGCTAATATAATTGCAGAGTGTATTAACAAGAGTGTTGTATATAAGACTCTAAAGGTAATTGTCCTGCTCTATTCAGCATTGGTGAGGCCTCAGCCAGAGTACTATGTACAGTTCTGGTCTCCATGCTTTAGGAAAGATGTGGACAAATGGGAGAGAGCCCAGAGGAGAACAATAAAGATGATAAAAGGTTTAGAAAACCTGATCTATGAGGAAAGGTTAAATTAACTGGGGATGTTTAGTTTGGAGAAAAGAAGACGGAGGGGGGACCTGATAACAGGCTTCAAATATGTTAAGGGCTGTTATAAAGAGGATGGTGATCAGTAGTTTGCCATGTCCACTGAAGGTAGGACAAGAAATAATGGGCTTAATGTGCTGCAAGGGAGATTTAGGTTAAATATTATGAAAATTTTCTAACCATAAGGATAGTTAAGCTCTGGAACAGGCTTCCAGGGGAGGTTGTGAAATACCTGTCACTGGAAGTTTTTAAGAACAGTTGGGCAGACTGTCAGGGATGGTCTAGGTTTCCTTGGTCCTACCTCAGTGCAGGAGGCTGGACTTGAGGACCTCTTGTGGTCCCTTCCAGCCCTCCATTTCTGTGATTCTGGGCTTTGAGACTCAAGCTGGGATCTTTGCTTCTCACACATAATCAACACCAGGAATAAAAATTTTGCAGACTAACTGCTACCTTTATTAGATCCCTGATAGCCTACATCTGAGCTGCAGATGTTCTGTATCCTCTACTACAGTGAACGATATTCCACTCACCATAAACACAGAGTCAACCCATCCCAGCTGATCCCCCTTATTGATGTTCACTGCCTCATTAATGTTCTCCAAAATGGCCTTTTTGAGTCACATTTTCTCCTGCTTTTATCATAGCCCAAAAGGCAATTTGTATGGAAAGCTAAAATAAAATCACTTGAGTTGGGATGTAGTAAGTATAATACACGTCTTTCCACATCCTGCCTCCTCTTCAATCTGCCTACATGAGTCTCAGCCCCCTGCTGTTGCCTGCCTCCATTCTACCCCTCATCCCCTGATTTTCTTTCTCCTGATCCAGTAATTGTTGGAATGAGAGTGATGGGAATCTGTCTCAATCCCAGAGTGTGTGATTTGTGCCACTCTCACACCTAGTCTGTCATAGAATCATAGAATATCAGGGTTGGAAGGGACCCCAGAAGGTCATCTAGTCCAACCCCCTGCTCGAAGCAGGACCAATTCCCAGTTAAATCATTTTCAGTGGAGGTAGTAGGGTGGGATGGTGTGTAAGGAGAGGTTTTGTTAACTGGCTGTACCCTAATCAAAGCCCATTCGGTGAGCTTGAGCTCCAAGGCTCAGATTCTCAGAGGTATTTAGGTGCCTAACTTCCATTGGAATAGATGGGGTTTAGGCACTTAAATACCTTTGAGGAACTGGGGCTTAGTGCCTTTCTAGACCAATTTAAGTTATTCATTTAGTCTTTGATCACAGCACGGAGGCTCCTCAAGGAGCCCCCACCCCACTTACACAAATACTTAAGAGGAGGTATAGGGCTTCATCCTCTTCTGGCTCATGTTGTGGGACCAAGCCACATCTTTTAATTAGAGCTTAGCAATAAAGGAATATCTCAGTCTAGACACTGAGGGCAACTTCTGACCTATAGCATGGGGTGTGAGATGAGATCTTGGTAAATCCAGCTTACTTCAATGGGGAAATGGTCAGGAGGACTGGTTGGCTCATGGGAAGGGAATACAGAGCCCTTCCCCTCTACTGAAGTAGTTACAATACAGCCCTACCATGGGGGGGGGGGGCTGCCTGTCTTAGATGGGGGAGTGAAATCAATGGGTACAGAGCTTTTCACCTATAGGGCACAAGTTTCACGCTACTATTAACTGTAAGTAGTTAGTCTCTGTTCCTTGGCCACCACATGAAATGAGCTGGGTTTTCAGTCAATCTATGTACCAGATTCACTGCAATTGACACTAATCAGACTATGATTGAGTGGGACACAGAGACAAGCACCCCTTCCACCCCCACACCCCGCCAAAAAAAAAAAAAAAACCCTGAGTCATTTCTATAGGGCTGGGGTTATGGTGTTGGCAGGGGCCAGGGTGCCTGTGGGAAGGTACCACTGCCAGTGCTGTACCTGCCTTGTGAATATACCAGTTCCTGATAGGGTTGCTAGTTTTGGTTGGACATATTCCTGGTGGTTCTATCACACGACATAATCTTTAAATACAGATTAGTTCCTGGAGACTCCAGCACAACCCTGGAAGGTTTGCAAGACCAGTCCCCAAACTGACCCTAGGATCCACGTTCCCGGTATAAGAGCACAGCAGGCGGGGCTCTTCCCCTGAAGGAGGATCTCTTTGGTGTGGAGTGTGACCGCTCTACTCCCTCTCTCCGCAGGTGGGGGCAGCGGAAGGGGAGGGCAAGACAGAGAGAGCAAGAGGAAGAAGACACTGCAACCTACTTGAATAATTGATAGCGCGAGGAGGGGGGAGCGTATGCGGGAGCAGCTGGACTCCCTGTGTCTCCATCCGCTCATCAGCCGGGGATGAGAGAGCTTAGCTCAGGTAGGGGGGCGCAGCTGCTCTTCATTCTCTCCCCTCCTGCAATGCCAATTAAATGTGTTTTGTGATCCGGGGGGGCAGAGGCAGCTGGGCAGGGGGCTGACTAAGGGAGTTTCAGTTACAAGGGGGAGGTGGCTCTGGGGTATTTTGTAAAGAAAGTGTGCTGTAATGCAGTGCGCAGAGAGGCAGGGATGGTTGGCCAGAGGCAGAGAACGTGGTAGGCTATGTGGAGAGGGATTGAGACAGAGACACTGGACAGGCGGAGAGGGAGTGGGGTTAAAGGGGTTTGTCTGAGGGACCTCACCTTTATCCTGCCAACCTCATGGCATCAAATCTTGAACCCAGATGGACTGTGGGAGGTGCCACCTGTGCACATCTGGAACTGGAACAGGGGACTGTGTGTGTTGGTGTGTGTGTGTCTGCGTTGGTGTGTACATGCTTGTGTGCAACTGTGTGTGCAGATGTGGCTTTGTGTGTTGCTGTGTGTGTGTGTGGCTGCACTGTTTGCTGATTTATTAAGGTTGTGCAGTATTAATAAATCCAGAGGGAGACAGTTTCTGTGCGGACGAGTTTACAATCTGAGGGGTTATGTTTGTGTGACTGCCTGTGCCTTCCTGTGCATGCATTCCCTTCTGTGAGCTCATGTCTCATGTCAGACGTGCTTACAGTGACTAAATTAATAGACTGATGGTGCCGAGATCAATTTGTGTTAGACTAAATCCAAACCTTTCCAGCTCAAACCTATACATATTCAGAATGAATGACCTAACACGCTGACCATACATCCTGAAACATACCCATTCACACAACTGGATGCATGTGCCCATACAGTCAGGTGGCATCATTTTATTCAGTGCATACCCACAGGCAATTTTTGTCTTGAGTGCAAGTTGAGGGTAGCGGTTGTTAAGAGTGGTTGTGGATTAGTAGTATACTGAGGGACAGCGAGTGCCAGGGAGTTGTGACTACATGTTGAAGTGAGGCTTGTTTGAGGAGAGAGGCTGTTTGTAACTAGATTGTGTGCTGGGGACCTGTGGGTGCTGAGTTGCAGCGGGAGCTGTTTTTCAGTTGTATATTGGGGTGTGTACTTTGGTTCTGTAAAGTTGTGATGCAGTGAAATGAAAGCCAGGCCTAACCTACCTAGAGAACCAGTAATAAGAGAGCTCTAACCTACACTCCCCCTGAGGGACTTCTCAGAGTACAAGACCCTTCACCTGTCCAAATTTCATTTCCCATATGCTCCCTTTTTGTTCTAGTTTAGCTAATCTCCCCTTCCCACTCAGAAATTCCCGTAATTGTGAGTACACCGTTCCTCTCATTCCCCAGCAACAGAGATGGAGGGACAGAGAGCACAGCCATGATCTATTCTTGATGGGTCCTAAAGCTTCCAGCCAGCCTATTCAGCTCCTCATTGTATGTGATGCCTCAGGTTCAGCTCTGAAGTGTTGGGAAGGCACACTAGCTTCACTTGTTCACCTGTTTCGTCACTTGTTTTGCCCTCTCTTCTCTGTATGTTTCCAGCATTATGAGATGGGAGTTGCTTGTGGGGAGATCTGTGCTTGATCTGGACAATGATGCACAGCCAGGTCACTTGCAATTCCATTGGCCTTTCATGACAAGAACATTTTGGAGGCAGTAGAACAGCATTCCCACACTCATGTCCCCAACAGGCAATATACCACCCCTCTCATCTTTTCTTTCTTTCTTTCTACCCCATCTATATCTGGTATTTCCTGTATAGTATATGCGGCTATACTCTCTCCTACCTTCTCATTTCCTCTGCTCCTTCCTACCCCTCTGTGACTTTCTTTTCTTTACGGCTCCTCCTCCCATCTCCGTTTGTCTTCCTTTTTATTCTCTTTTTCTCTGTCTCTCCTTTCACTCTTTGCCACTCTCTCTTTCTTTCTCTTTCTCCCCCAGTGATTAAAGTAGCTCAAGATGAGCGAGGGAGCTCACCAGCTGTAGTGGCTGCTGTCACAGGTCTTGATGTTATGTGGTGACAGAGCATTACATCATTTTGTGGCATTGGGACTCACATAGCAAGGGGAAGAGATGGGGGCAGAGAGGAAATGTATCTGAAAGGGCTCCAAGTCCCCAAGCAGCAGGGCCACAGACAGGTAAACACAACTTTGTGTGTATGTCTGTGGGGTGGGGGGTAGTGCCAGGATGGAGAATCTATACTGATGTGAAAGCAAAGAAATGTGGATAGGCCTGGGAGAGTCTGTTCCCCCAAAGGTTTGAAATGCCCCATGCAATAGCTTGCACACTCCAATGGCTAGACATTTCACAAGAGAGATTTTATGGCAAGTCTCTGCATTATGTATTATTTACTGCCTAGAGGGGGTAGAGCTAGAAGGGGTTGGTATAGCCTTTTCCTCCCTGTGTAGGGAATGGGAGGCAGTACGGGATTGCTCCTGTGACCCTCTCTTCCTGTAGGGTATGGCAAGCTGGCTGGGGGGACAGACCCTACTTTAGAAGAGGGGAGGTAAATAGGGGACTCTTCTTCCCTTCTCAGGTTCAGCTGCTACTTTACCCACTGGCAGAAAATTCTGGGAACCCCTGAAATGCTTCAGCCAATCATCAGGTCCCTCTCTTGCTCCCACCTGAGATTCCCCTTCCTGGAGGTCCTCATCTCAACAGCCTGGCAGGAGAGGATGTGCGGAGAGAGCTGAGCTTTCCAAGCCATGGAGAAGGAACAGTACCCACGTCTCACATTAACTTCTGCTCTCTCCCTGCATCCTGTTTCTCAGTCTCTCAATCTCTCTCTGCCACTTTCAATCTCTGCTGCTCACAGTGTGTCCTGCAGTGTCTCCCTGGGAGCTTCCTGCCCTCATGTGGCTCATGCTCGGTCCTAGCTGTGAGCAGCTCTTTCCTTTCTCTCATTTGAAGTGTGTCTCGGGAAAGAGAAGTAGGTGGGGGTTGGGACTTGGGGGGGCAAAGGAGGAAGCCTGTGCCCTCTAGAGATGGGGAGGTGAGTCTGTGCCCAGCTGCATGCCGAGACGGGAGGAGAGGAAGCTGGCAAGCAGGAGAGCCAGGAATCCACCTTTAGCAGAGAGAAGAGTAGAGAATGTTTTCTCGGAAGCGCAGTTTCACCTTCGGAGCCTATGGAGGGTATGTACCTGTACCAGCCCCTGGCTCCCTCTCACGGACCTTGTATTATGCAGCCTCTTCCTACCAGAACCCTGGCAAAGCTTTGGGAGTAGGTTAAAACTAGAGAGGGAAACCTCCAGGGAAATTCACATGTGCATCTCTGCTCCATCACCCCAGCCTTATCTCCATCCTTCTGATATTGGGACAACTTCCTCTCCTTTCTCCAGCAGAGAGAGGGCTTTCCCAGGCCTGTGTGGATTGTGGGCTAGAGTGGGGGAGTGACTGATTGTTTTCTTCAGGATGAGCTCTCCTTCAAAGGCTGAGACTTCAATATCTTCCCTCCTCCCTCCCTCCCCTTAGAAGGAGACGCAGTTCTGATGTTTCTGGAGATGGCGATGGGTGTTTGAGGTTAGGTGCATTTTCCTCAGGACTTCTCCTTCCAGAGCAGAACAGTGTAACACCCGGTGTGCCTGAAGAGCATGGACCACAGATGTGGACCAAATGACGGACAGAGCTTGGAGTGAGTGTTTAGCCAGTTGGCCAGGTGACCCAATAGGCCTTCTCTGTCTGTTCCTGAGGCAAAAGGAGGCTGAGGCATTTAAAGGAAATCCTAGACAAAGAATGAGGACACAGTGGTTCTCAACCTATGGTTTGTAGGCCGCTTGAGGTCCAATCAGCACAGCGCTGCAGCCCATATGACATCCTCAGGGCCATACAGGTAATATTGGATGCAGTCCACATAACACACTGTGGGCCACATATGTGGCCTTGTAGTGAGGTGGCTGCCCCACTCCAAGGTAAAAGGGATTAAGAACAGCTGAGGGAGGCTGGTGAGGTAGTTGGCCCCAGGTGTGGCTGGCATAATCAGGCCACAGCTGGCCTGGATAAAGAGGACTGTGGACCAGGAGCTGTGAGGAGTCTCACTCTAGCCCTGGAGTGGTAAGGGCTAGCAGTCTGGGAGCAATGTTCTCTCTAATTTTTGACATGTGTGCAAAAAATTTCTTCTGTGCAAATTTTTGTGTGCGTGGTGTTTTGCTGTGTGTGGGGTTTAGGATATGTGTGTGTGCGCGCACATGCACAGCTTAGAGGGAACAGTGCCTGGGAGCAGGGTACCTGAAGCAGAGCAGTGCTGGGGAAAAGGGCAAAGGGAGCTGGGGAGCTCCAGCCTGGTAAACCCCCAGGCTGCAGGCCTTGGTGAAGGCCTACAAAGGTACTGGGGCTATAAAGGTGCAGCCTGGGAACAGGCAGAGGCAGCTGGTCCTAACTCCTTGCCAATGATGAGTGGCCATTACAGACTGCAGTTTGCCCCAGAGAAAGGGAGCTAGATGATGACTGGCAGTAGCCACTGAGGCAAGGTGGGCTTAGAGGGTTGGGGGTTCTCCTAGGAGGGGAGACCCAGAGTGTGGGGGTACTGCAGTGGGCAGAACCCCAGGGTAAGGGACACTGGGGTGTGGGAGGGATACAAGGCCTGAGACAGGCAAGACACCGGCCAACAGAGGGCGTTCTGGAGCTGCAGTTGAGCTAATTCCCAAGATGACCAGCAGGAGGGGCCACGCCGGTGAGTTGTCCCTTTGCTACAGGCCTACAGTGGTAAATAGGTTGAGAACCACTGAGCTAGAGTGTTAGCCTTATCACTGGCAGCTGCACACTCTCACTGTCTCTACCTTTATCTTGCTCTCTTTCCTTTGGAGTTCAGGAATCAATCTGTGATGCAGTGGTGGGGAATGCAAAGCTCCAGCTACTACATGCTCTGGTGCTGTGATTAGGACGTGACCACCAAACCCCCGAAGAGCATGATTGGCAGAGCTGGGTACTGGAGAGAGGCCCAGGACTGGAATAGCAAGGGCTGCTGCAGGTCAAGACAAATGATCCTCAGCAAACATTTTATTTGATTTCTTCAGAGCTGTTTTCTGGCTGTGAATTACTTACAGACAGATCCAAATTCTTATGAATTTGGTGATTCTTCTAAATGTTTCAAGGAACAGTTCCCATGAACATACTTCAGCTTAAGAGGGTCACTTGCCAGCTACTAGCCATGGCTATTACATTAAGTTATCTGTAATTTGCTATTCATGGCCATTTGATTAGTTCCTGAAGTCACACAGTGTTGTTTCTGCCCCGGGCTGGACTCCTGAGCCCATGAAGAGCCTTCAAGATAGCCACATGCACCCTTTAACCATGAGCCCCTATGAGAATAATTTCATGAGGATTTGGATACTTTCCCTTCCAGAGAGCAACAAATCACTCCTATGAATGGGGAATTAAAGGGCTTGTGACATCTGTCAAAGTGGATGTGCAGGTTTTATTTTCAGGATGGAGAAGCACTGGCAGAGTATATATGGAGATGGATAGCTGAGAGGGCTGTAAAGGGTCTTCCACAGGATTTCAGGGCTGAATGTGGAGATTGAAGGACTGGAATAGTAGCACATGCTGCAGGTCAGGACTGCCTGGCTACTTTTCTATTTAAAATGTAAGCAGTAGATAGTGAAAATAATTCCAGGGGTGGGTTCCTGTTTTTCTGTTCTGAGAGTGCTCCTGCCAACAAAGCTAATGCCGCTCGTTGGGGGTAGAAGTTTTTTTTATTCTCCTACAAACACATATGCAGAGAAATGGTCCTTCCTTGTGGGCCTGCAGTACTGCAAAGCCCCAAAGCTCAGAATTCATGAGTCAGTCTCCCAAAAATCATGAAATTTGTTTTAAAAGTTTAAGTCCCATTTTTGTCCTGTCTTCTGATTTATTTATTTATTTATTTATTCCCCCTGCCCACCTGCAATGTGTTTGTCTTGTTGCCAACCCTGGCAGATGCTTAGTAAAGTAGGTGATTTTGCTGAAGGAGCTCTTACTAGAGGATCCAGCCAAAACTGGGGTCTGATTGTGCTATGCATTTTCCATTTGCACAGTAAGGGACAGTCCCTGGCCCCAAGAGCTTACAACTGAGTGCAAAGCCTGGTGGTGAGTTTGTGATGTGATGAGTTTGTAACTGGGACTCAGCCAGACTCATCTCATAGAGGGGCCACTGAAGATCCATTAGATGGGAACAACTTTTAATCCTTGTTGAGCAAGGAAGGATTCAAACTGGTGATCGGCAGGTGGAAGGTTCTGAGTCTATACTGCATTACAAAGGACTGAGGCATTCATTCTTGCAAAAGCACTAATCTTGCATCTTTGAGAATGAGACTTCTTTCTGGAGAGATGAGTTTATTAAATGAAATTCTGATCTCTTTTGGAGTTTACACAGGCAGAGTCGTCTGCTCTCTGGACTCACGGTGTAAATCGCCCCCACTGTGCTGTCAGTCTCAGATCTCACTGTTTGCCTGGCCCTGTTCTTAAAGGAGCATCTCCCATTAACCAAGTACAAAAAATAAAAAATAAAATGATTAGCACAACATTCAAATTAACTACAGTGGTTTGCATATAGACATACCAACAATTACTTCAGACTCTTTAGAGTAACTTTTATATTGTTTTACTCCCATTTGTGTCATTAGTAGGGTTTCAACCTTCAGATGCACAACACAGATCTCCTCTACTTCAGCTATAGGAGTAACTAATGGGGGAAGCATGCCGTTACCCTCTATGTGGAACAGCCCACAGTCAGACACCAAATGCACATTGCCAGTGGGTTGCACCAGTACTCATGAGACAGCAGTAGAATGTGGGGCATCAGGATTCTTGGCCCTCAGAGCTGCTTGTGCCCTGGTGGTTACAGACAGCATAGAGAAATGTAACAACAAACACCACCCCTGTTTGGGTCATCTGTGCGGTATGAACCTGGGACCACTGGTGTTAAAGCATGAACCTTTTACAGAGCTCTTAGCTTGGAAATAGCAGGAGAGTCCTAAACCTCTGTGTGGTTTAGCTACTAGAGGGGGACACAGAGCCACACTGTGTTAGCATGAGTTATATAACTACTTACTTTTGCATGTCCTTTCTGCAATGTTGTATGACAAAGTGACAGGTTTCAGAGTAACAGCCGTGTTAGTCTGTATTCGCAAAAAGAAAAGGAGTACTTGTGGCACCTTAGAGACTAACCAATTTATTTGGGCATGAGCTTTCGTGAGCTACAGCTCACTTGATGAAGTGAGCTGTAGCTCACGAAAGCTCATGCTCAAATAAATTGGTTAGTCTCTAAGGTGCCACAAGTACTCCTTTTCTTATGACAAAGTGGACACTGTTACATTAGAGACCTGGCTTCTATTCCCAGCTCTGACTGTGTAGCCTCTGTTACCTGTGAAACAATAGTTCTCTCTCTCACCAACTTTGGCCTTTAATAAGTAGTGTGAATGGCACAGAAATGCTAACAGCTGCTAGTAACAGTGCTGGGGCTAAACCTTATGGATGCTGTCAGCTGAGCTTGCAGTATAATACAGCTTCCCTTAGACAGCTAGACATCGTTAGGGTTGCTGTTTGATTTTTCTTCCCCCAGATTGCATGATGACTGCAGCTCTTCATATCAGCACAAGATGGCCTGTAGCAGGGGCCAAAATCATGATAAATTTGTGACAGTTGGCAACTTTACAAGGCAGCAGACCCTCCTCTGCTCTGCTATGCTCACCCCCTTAGCAGTGATCGTTCTGACCCCTGCTTTTCTTCTTTGCTTGCCCTGGCTCGGGCATATTCCCATCCCTGGGTCTGGCAGCAAGGCTGTAGCAAGTGGGTCTGTCTTTAGGTTCTGGTATCAGTGACTCCAAGGGCTTTTAGCTCTTCAGATACTGATCAGTCTCAAGGTGGCTGATTCCTGGGAACCTGACAGTTTTTAATAGATCAGAGGCTAGTCCTGATCCCAGAGTGGGTCCTGTCCCCGCTGTTGGAAACCCTCCCCACTTCCCAGCATTTGTTCCATCTAGGACCTACCCATCTTGTCACTGCAACCCAGCCATTGGATCAGGAGCCCAGAGCAGGGAAGTGGTTTGGCCGACCATGTATAAGCACAGGAAAGGGAATTGTGGGGAGCTGGTGCAGGTGGGCAGAGAGAGGGATCCAGTGGCAGGGAGTGGGGGAGAGGCACATCTGAGAGGGGTGCAGGGGATAAGTGAACCAGGAGTCTCTTGCTGGGTGGGGAAGGAGGGATCAGCGACTGTGAGAAGGGAGGCCCGGGCACTTTTTGAGAGAGACCGTTATGAGTATTGGCATCCTGGATGCTATAAGGCAGTGGTTCCCAAACTTTAACAGCCCGTGAACCCCTTTCACTAAATTGTGAAATCTCATAAACCCCTTCCTAAAAATAAATATTTCCAGGGATTTAAGTTTAAATTTCCTCCACACTTGGCACTCCGCAATCTGTGGGGCTCCTGCTGCTGGACCCCGTTGACCACCCTAGTCAACTGAGCTCCACTGAGCTCGGGCTGCAGGTCCTGCTGAGTGCTGGGGCTCGGGCTGCCAGCCTGGGCTGCCAGCCTCAACTGCCCAGCCCCGCTCTCCCTGGGGCTCAGGGTGCCAGCCCTACACAGAGCACTGGGGTTCGGGCGGCCGGCTCCCCCACTGACAAAGGTAGGTCTTGGGCTGCCAGCCCCAACTGCTCGGCTCCGCTCTCCCTGGGGCTCGGGCTGTCTGCCCTGCAACCGGGTCCCACCTGCTGCTTCCAATGCCCAGGGTCCTCTGGCTGCCATTAGTGAAATTTTTCTGATGAACCCCCTGTAACGTTCTGCGAACCCCCAGGGGTTCACAAACCCCAGTTTGGGAACCACTGCTATAATGGTTAATGGTGATTGTCTCCCTTCAGGAGATCTGATGAAGTGGGGCGCTGCATTAGTGACATTCTAGATTCTCCTGTCCAGGACCCCCAGACTGCACTTACCCCTGCTGTTCACAACAAGGTAAGGAGCTGCATCCTCCCTGTCCAGAATGGAAATATGCCTAGAGCATCTGAGAACAGGGGAGAGAAGCAGGCAATGTGCATTACAAACGGGGGGGTGGGGGGGTGTATTGTCGGCACAGATATGTATTTCTCAGTGAGTGCCCTAGAAACTGGTCCATCTAGTTTAACTTCCCGTCTCTTGACATAACAGAGCAGGCCATTATCTTGGCCACTCAGATGCAACTAATGGTCCATCTAGTCCAGAATCCTGGCTAATCCAATACCAGATCAGGCTGTTATTCTGCCTTTAACAGTGCAAGGTGAAAACAATGCACCTGGCCAGTTGTTCAGTACTGTGCCATCCATGTAGGGAGAGGGATTCCTTTCCTGACTTCAGCAGATGAATAATTTCTGCCCTGAAGCATGAGGACCCTTGTGATTTTTGTCATAGCTGGTGTTACTGCAGATGACATTCTCTCTCATAGAAATGTCAGATCTCTTTCTATGTCATCCTTTTCTCTTCACAGACTGTGGATTTGTTTGAAATGATTGAAAAAATGCAGGTGAGGAGCAGTATTTGGGATCCTTAATTTCTGGTAACTGATCATTGTTAGCTCCTATTCCTGTCCTGTCCCTGCACCTTCACAGCAGCTTCACTTGTGCCCTTCAGTCCTGACTGGTCTGCTCTCCCAGTCTTGACTCTCTTGGCTCTACCCAGCCCCTTCCAACTCTCTGGTAGTGTAGCTTCACTGTCACTCCCTCAGGTTCAGGGGCCCAAACAATGTGGGGGTGCACCCACAATTAGTTTAAATACAAATATATGTCCCTTAGAGAACACTAACGGTGCAGAGTTCAGCACTCAAATGTCAGAAAATGCCAAAGCTAATGTGAAACCTTAACTCTGCCCTTTATATATTTTTAAGGGTGATCACTGTACTTCACTGAGATAGTCTATCAGGGTGGCTGTGTTAGAAGGATGTCCCTTGAGAAACTCCTTTACTTGATCAAAGAATCATAGAATATCAGGGTTGGAAGGGACCTCAGGAGGTCATCTAGTCCAACCCCCTGCTCAAAGCAGGACCAATCCCCAACTAAATCAAATTGATGGTAGTGAATACTAATGACTACTGCTTAGCTGGTGCAGCATTAGCAGGGAGAACAGGCGTTGCACTTCCAGTACACTCCCTGCAAGTAGGGGAGGGAAAGGGACTGGGTGGCTCCACCCCCACATATGTTATCATTTATTATTAATTTGTGTTACCATGGTGCCTAGGAGCCCCATTTGTAAACCATGACCCCAATGTGCTGGGTGCTGTACAAACACAGAACAAAAAGACAGACCCTGCCTGAAAGCGCTTACAATCTAATTGCCTAGGCAGTAGAGCTGGCTAGGCCATAAGGGAGAAGATGCTGTACACTGAAACACAGTATAATAAATAACTCCCTGCTGCAATAGAAGAGAGGAATTCAGAGAAGAATTGTGCTTCTCTTCCCAGTGCTTCTCCTGCATCTATGTGCCACCCCATACTCAGGACTGTAACTAAAGGTACCTGCTAGCCCTCAGTGAGTGAGAAGTTGTGTGCAGTATTTATATGTATACACCTCTGAGCTGTAAGGGGCAGGTTCTGCCACCTTCATGCATGACGAGTAGCACCTTACTCTGTGAACAGTGTTACTGGGATTATTTGCAGAGTAAGGAATGACTCAGTGTGAGTAAAGGTGGCAAAATCTGACCTTCAGCTATCAGCCCTTTTCTAAATGGAAAAGTACAAGTTAAATTGGAAATTAATTGTCCCATAAACTGACATAATATTTATGGTGTTTCCAGGTGCAAAGTATTGAGCTATATTCAGTAATAATAGTGCATTATGCAGCACTTTGATAGTAGCCTGGATCCAGAAAGGGACATAAGCATTGTAACTCTAAGGACTTGTCTACACTTGCAGCAGTGCAGCTGCGCCACTATATCACTTCGTGAAGACGCTACCTATGCCAACGGGAGATGCTTTCCCATCGGCGTAGGTACTCCACCTCCCTGAGAGGCAGTAGCTATGTCGACGGGGGAAGCCCTCCCATCAACATAGCGCTGTCTATACTGGAAGTTCAGTTGGTATAACTATGTCGCTCTTAGGTGTGGAAAATCCATATCCCTGAGCGACGTCGTTATACTGACATAAGTTTGTAGTGTAGACCAGGGCTAAGCGTTGTAATGCCTAACTTTTAGGCATTTAGAAAATCATAGGAACAACATTGTGATTCACAAAGCCTGAGTTAGGCTATGTCCACACAGCACACCTTATAACAGTGCAGTTGTGCTGCTGCAGCCACGCCTTTGTAAGCTGCACTGTGTGGCCACTCTTTAAATAAAACCACCCGCAACGAGAGGCGGTAGCTTTGTTGATGGGAGTGCGGCTCCCGCCACCGAAGTGCTGTCCACACCGGCACTTTTCATTGCTAAAACCTTTGTTGTTCAACGGGGTGTTTTTTCACAACCCTGAGCGACAAAAGTTTTAGCAACAAAAGTGCCAGTGTAGACATAGTCTGTGGCTATGTGTACACTACAACTTATGTCGGCATAATTTATGACAAGCTGCAAATAAACTGCGTCCCTGAGCGACATAAGTTGCACCGACATAAATGCTGGTGTGGACAGCACTATGTTGGCAGGAGAGTTTCTTTTGCTGACATAGCCCTGGTCTACACTAGGACTTTAGGTCGAATTTAGCAGCGTTAAATCGATTTAAACCTGCACCCGTCCACACAATGAAGCCCTTTATTTCGACTTAAAGGGCTCTTAAAATCGATTTCCTTACTCCACCCCTGACAAGTGGATTAGCGCTTAAATCGACATTGCCGGCTCGAATTTGGGGTACTGTGGACACAATTCGATGGTATTGGCCTCCGGGAGCTATCCCAGAGTGCTCCATTCTGACTGCTCTGGACAGCGCTCTCAACTCAGATGCACTGGCCAGGTAGACAGGAAAAGAACCACGAACTTTTGAATCTCATTTCCTGTTTGGCCAGCGTGGCAAGCTGCAGGTGACCATGCAGAGCTCATCAGCACAGGTGACCATGATGGAGTCCCAGAATCGCAAAAGAGCTCCAGCATGGACCGAACGGGAGGTACGGGATCTGATCGCTGTTTGGGGAGAGGAATCCGTGCTATCAGAACTCCGTTCCAGTTTTCGAAATGCCAAAACCTTTCTGAAAATCTCCCAGGGCATGAAGGACAGAGGCCATAACAGGGACCCGAAGCAGTGCCACGTGAAACTGAAGGAGCTGAGGCAAGCCTACCAGAAAACCAGAGAGGCGAACAGCCGCTCTGGGTCAGAGCCCCAAACATGCCGCTTCTATGATGAGCTGCATGCCATTTTAGGGGGTTCAGCCACCACTACCCCAGCCGTGTTGTTTGACTCCTTCAATGGAGATGGAGGCAATACGGAAGTAGGTTTTGGGGACGAAGAAGATGATGATGAGGAGGAGGTTGTAGATAGCTCACAGCAAGCAAGTGGAGAAACCGGTTTTCCCAACAGCCAGGAACTGTTTCTCACCCTAGACCTGGAGCCAGTACCCCCCGAACCCACCCAAGGCTGCCTCCTGGACCCAGCAGGCGGAGAAGGGACCTCTGGTGAGTGTACCTTTTAAAATGCTATACATGGTTTAAAAGCAAGCATGTGAAAGGATTACTTTGCCCTGGCATTTGCGGTTCTCCTAGATGTAGTCCTAAAGCCTTTGCAAAAGGTTTCTGGGGAGGGCAGCCTTATTTCGTCCTTCATGGTAGGACACTTTACCACTCCAGGCCAGTAACACGTACTCGGGAATCACTGTAGAACAAAGCATTGCAGTGTATGTTTGCTGGCATTCAACCAAAATCCGTTCTTTATCTCTCTGTGTTATCCTCAGGAGAGTGAGATATAATTCATGGTCACCTGGTTGAAATAGAGTGCTTTTCTTCAGGGGACACTCAGAGGAGCCCATTCCTGCTGGGCTGTTTGCCTGTGGCTAAACAGAAATGTTCCCCGCTGTTAGCCACAGGGAGGGGAGAAGGTTGAGGGGATAGTCACGCGGTGGGAGGAGGCAAAATGCGACCTTGTAACGAAAGCACATGTGCTATGTATGTAATGTTAACAGCAAGGTTTACCCTGAAAGACTGTAGCGACTGTTTTATAAAATGTGTCTTTTTAAATACCGCTGTCCCTTTTTTTTTCTCCACCAGCTGCATGTGTTTCAATGATCACAGGATCTTCTCCTTCCCAGAGGCTAGTGAAGCTTAGAAAGAAAAAAAAAACGCACTCGCGATGAAATGTTCTCCGAGCTCATGCTGTCCTCCCACACTGACAGAGCACAGACGAATGCGTGGAGGCAAATAATGTCAGAGTGCAGGAAAGCACAAAATGACCGGGAGGAGAGGTGGCGGGCTGAAGAGAGTAAGTGGCGGGCTGAAGAGAGTAAGTGGCGGGCTGAAGACAGGGCTGAAGCTCAAAGGTGGCGGCAGCGTGATGAGAGGAGGCAGGATTCAATGCTGAGGCTGCTGCAGGACCAAACCAGTATGCTCCAGTGTATGGTTGAGCTGCAGCAAAGGCAGCTGGAGCACAGACTGCCACTGCTGCCCCTCTGTAACCAACCGCCCTCCTCCCCAAATTCCATAGTCTCCACACCCAGACGCCCAAGAACGCGGTGGGGGGGCCTCCGGCCAACCAGCCACTCCACCACAGAGGATTGCCCAAAAAAAAGAAGGCTGTCATTCAATAAATTTTAAAGTTGTAAACTTTTAAAGTGCTGTGCTTAAAGTGCTGTGTGGCATTTTCCTTCCCTCCTCCACCACCCCTCCTGGGCTACCTTGGTAGTCATCCCCCTATTTGTGTGATGAATGAATAACGAATGCATGACTGTGAAGCAGCAATGACTTTATTGCCTCTGCAAGCAATGATTAAAGGGAGGAGGGGAGGGTGGTTAGCTTACAGGGAAGTAGAGTGAACCAAGGGGCGGGGGGTTTCATCAAGGAGAAACAAACAGAACTTTCACACTGTAGCCTGGCCAGTCATGAAACTGGTTTTCAAAGCTTCTCTGATGCGTACCGCGCCCTCCTGTGCTCTTCTAACCGCCCTGGTGTCTGGCTGCGCGTAAGCAGCAGCCAGGCGATTTGCCTCAACCTCCCACCCCGCCATAAACGTCTCCCCCTTACTCTCACAGATATTGTGGAGCACACAGCAAGCAGTAATAACAGTGGGAATATTGGTTTCGCTGAGGGGTCTAAGCGAGTCAGTAAACTGCGCCAGCGCGCCTTTAAACGTCCAAATGCACATTCTACCACCATTCTGCACTTGCTCAGCCTGTAGTTGAACAGCTCCTGACTACTGTCCAGGCTGCCTGTGTACGGCTTCATGAGCCATGGCATTAAGGGGTAGGCTGGGTCCCCAAGGATACATATAGGCATTTCAACATCCCCAACAGTTATTTTCTGGTCTGGGAATAAAGTCCCTTCCTGCAGCTTTTGAACAGACCAGAGTTCCTGAAGATGCGAGCATCATGCACCTTTCCCGGCCATCCCACGTTGATGTTG